CTCAGACGACAAGCAAAAAATATTTTCTGAGCGCTGTGCAGAGATTAGATTTGGGAGGAGAATGATAATGAATTTTGCACCACGTTGAGGCACTACAATACAAGAGTAGAATTGTGAAAGAATTTCTGGCCCAAAACTCAGCAATTATCATGGAACAACCGACGTATTCAACTGATATCGGCTCCTACTGAATTTTTTCTCTTTCTGTCAAATCTCAGTCAATTGAAGACAAAAATAAAAAAGAGAATGCGCGTGGAGAAAATAGCTCTTCCTTACCTCACTCGTTATTATCTACTAGATTATCCGTCACCACCACAACAAATTGCTCTAACATTGCCAACAACAACAACTATGGTGGCTTACACCGCTGATGGTGTTGGGATAATGATGTTGCATGTAGTAGATAAGCCATCACAACAACTGTCATAGCGCGAGCAACTGTAAAATGCAAGAAGATAAAGATGACATGCCAACGTACTGATATGCATGTATGTATGTATGTATGTATATGCAAATAGCCAATAACAGTGTAAATGACACCTTTCTACAAGCACAAACAATTGAAATCACGAAAGTCGCATAAATATGCCTATGAGTAAGCAAAGTATATACTCATATGTATATATATGTACATATATACACGCACATATATATATATATATAAATTTGCCACACGTTGCATGTAATCATTCTGAAGAGCATGAAAACGAGAGAAATGTTTATTATCTTAACCGCCAAAGGCAGCTTGGAGTAGGTCAGTAGTGGTACTTCGGTGCATACATACACACACACATACATATGTTTCTAAACATGCATACATACATATACATATGTATGGCCATGTAATGTACATGCATACCCATCAGGCGGAAATTGACATACATTTACAACAAAACAACGAAAAAAGTAAAAAAAAAGTAAAAAAGTGCTGAAAAAGAATGGAGAATTACGGGAATACCGCAGTTAATGCGAAAGTACATGCCAAGGCGAGTTATAAAATTTACCGTTACCTGCAGTTGGCGGATAGGGTCAAGGTTGATGATATGCAGATGCCTGATTGTGCATACATACATATATATTTACACACGTTTTACCTTAAACACATATAAATGCATGTTTATGTGTCTTGTGGCAAGTTAATTTGTTGTTGTTTTTACATTTAAGCTTGCACTTGTGCTTTGTGCGCCTGTAATTTGCTTTTACGGTACCACAGTTCGTGATGTCACCAAACGAAAAACAATAATAATAACAAAAACATCAAGAATGAAAATAACAACAACAACAACGGTAATAATAATAAACAATAACAAAGACAACAATAATAATTTTGCTATCATCAATTTATTCACGCTTTTGTGGGAATGCAAGCGCGACTTTGAGGTTATTTATTAGTGTTGCTGTTATTGTTGTTGTTGTTGTTGCTGCTGTTGTTCTATAAGCGTTGAATAATCATGTATTTATTAATGTTCTTGCAGATAACGAGTATGAGTTGGAGTGAATGTGAATGTGATTTTATGTGAATATTTGCCATTATTTTCTTTAATTTTATTGCAGAAAGTAAAATCCGGTTTGAAGTTCGTGGGAATAAATTCGAAATCAAAGTTATCGATATATACAATATGTGTGAATGTTAAATAATTTTTTAAAATTTCTAAATTTCAAATAAATGGATTAAATTGCCACCGAGACCAAAGTGAGAAGCGACATTGTAACGATAGAAGTTCTTTTTGGAATATAAAATATTAGTCAAAGTAACAAGTCTTCCATTATTAGTGCTCCCACAAAGAAGATCTTGTCCCTATTGGCAAAAAATTGGGTCAATCCATTTTCACAGGCATCTCTTGCGGCCAAGTCTCAACCAGCAAAGCATTTGCTATAAACAAGACCTGTATGTTAGCCACTTAGTAAGAAGTCTTTACTAAAAGATGGATGCATAAGACCAAGCTCTTGGAGCTATTAGCGTATCACGATGTGTGTGATCTGGCGTTGTTCTGGTGAAAAAGAATTCTCCCCTTGAGGGGCGATTACTTTCTTTAGACGGTCAAACTGCTGATAATCGGTTATGAGTTTGGATGATTCTTTGTCAGCAAATACACAACAAAACATTTCTGGTCGTCAATTCGTGTTTGGCGATCGTTTGTGCCGACTCACTATCCTTCGAACACGATCCTTATCATTTAACTATGCTGTAAGTGATTCAGTTTTCATCCCCAATGACTATGTGCTTCAGGAATAAATTCGAGTTTGTTACGATTCAGCAGCGTTCGTAGGTGGAAATTCGGCCCATGGGATTTTTTTCGTTAACTCCTGTTGCATCCACAAGTCGAGACTCTTTATTTATCCAGCCTTCAGCTTTTGGGTGATCGTAATATTGCTTGGACGTGCAAGTCAGTATAAAAAACTGTGGTCACTTTAAATAAACTCTAAATGCGTCCAGCATGTACTGTTCTTAGATACTGTGCAACTGACAACTTAGCCAGAAGCGGAACAGTCTTAACTAAGGTATACTCTACCCACCCTTTCGCTCGGCAGAACATCAGACAGGAGACTGTGCTCGTCGAATTCACTTGCAACTCACTGAGACATGGTTTTGGGGTCGCTGGCTCCCATGAATATTCGTTACACTGTGCTAGAATCGGAAAATTTTACTTTTCGTCAAACAGGGTGTCCATCAGTACACAGAACAGTATTATATATGTTACCGACCAGCTCTGAGTGCGGTCCGACATCATTCCCTCCAAAAATGTTTTTCCTTTCTGCCTTTCAGAACTCGCTTCAAGGAAGTGTTAGTAATCTTGCAGGTTTCATAAATCGTACTAAGTGATTTGAGCAGGAAGCTAGAAAGGTGAGAGAAATCTCTTCGCAGGCCCACCATAGGTGTCACCAAAAGTCAGCATGCTTAAGTGCACTTCAGCAGGTTTACACGAATAGACGACCTCAGCAACTGGCTAGTTAATAATTTCAGACTGAAATCGTTATGAATTTTGTAGAAAAAATAAAAAATATTGCAGAAATTAGCCAAAAATGGTTTAGCCGCAAACATAGCGCCAACAGGTAGTATTTCAACGGAAAGTACATGTAGCGGTACAGCGTCCTCTAATTGCGGCCATAACTGTACCGAAAGCAGCTTAAAGCTTGATGATTTTAAACCATACGAAAGCAATAAAGCTAGTTTGAGCGAGTGCATAGAGGTCTTCAACAGTAGCACTCTGAGTAACGAAGAGTTCATTTTACAAGAAGATGCCTTGCCTTGTTCTTATCCAGAAAATGTATCGCTGCCCGAGGACAGAAAGGCAAATATGCTTCGGTTCCAACGTACGATAACCCAGCGTGACTTTAAAAGATCCACATAGAAATATGCCAAATACCCCAGAAAAAAAGTAGCACACATTTTTCCTTGAAACTGAGGACTTCGTGAATTTGGTTCCACTGCTCCTTCTCAGCTAATTTAATCGCTTACAGCAGAAACTTAAATCAATCTGAGTATTTGAACAGTACGTGCTTTCCTTACAAGTCTTTTTTTTAACAGAGCTCATTTAAACAAAAACTTCCTACTCTTACAATCGTAGATTTTTACTACCTTTTTACTAGCTGCCTCTCTGCCTCTGTTGTTTTAATTCTCTAATCAGTACAGTAAAAATTGTAGGTATGTACGGGTATGTATATAGTCGTTAAAGGTGTATGTGGTAAGCCAATTGCCTTCCGCAATCACTTCGCTATTAGCATATTTAACACCAATTCGCTTTTAGCGAAATCTGAAATCTCAATTCTCAATTTCAGCTTACATATTTCTCTGCACTTTGTTCTTGTCTTAGCGAGTGAAGCAACAAAGCGAGTGGCCTAAATTCATTCATTTACATAAAATGAAAATTTCGTGTACCAGTAATCTAGTTCTGGCGAGACTCGCGCGAAATACTTAACACTTCCGTGCATATATACACTTACAAATACATATATACGTGTTTTATTATATGCGGTGATGGAAAGAAAAAAGATAAATAAATAAAAAAATAAAATAAATCAAAATAAAATAAAATAAAATAAAATAAAATAAAATAAAATAAAATAAAATAAAATAAAATAAAATAAAATAAAATAAAATAAAATAAAATAATAAGATAAAAAATTAGAATAAAATAACATAAATAAAAATAAAATAATAAGATAAAAAAATAAAATATAATATAACAAAATAAAAAAAGTAAAAAAAAAATTTAAAAAATGTGTGTACGTGCAGATATATGTATATATAGGTAACAAAGTTGCTCAAATGTACACAAATCTTAGCAGACCTGAATACTCTAAAAAAGTATGCTACATTTTCTGATATTGGCGTGGTCAGTTATGCGAACAGTTAACGCAAAATGATTTTACAATTTGCGTGCGGCAAAGTAAAATTGTATATAGGAAATGGGAAAACTTCATTTTTGTCTTATGTATATACGTATATATAATTGGCGCGTTCTATGGTGTGTTTGGCTTTAACATGAGATTTATTGTGCGTGCGGCTAAATTTTGTCCTCTTTCTGCCTTTCAAATGTCGAATGTACAGTTTTACAACTTAGTTATTTCAATGCTGCGAGCAATGTATTTTATTGCACGCCGTATTCTGGGTATTCATGCATGCCAAAAGCTTTCATATGCATTTGTAAAGATAACTGTTGGAATCGACTCTTCAGGTAAGACATTTATTTCATTTAAAAAAAATTCAATTTCCTGCTTTGCTTAGAAAAATGAAAATATATAAGTGACGGAAATTGCTTAGGAGAATTGATATTTCAAATGAATCAAAATAAATTTAGATGCTTTTCTTTGCAAATTATTTTTCAATTGTTTTCTTACACGAATCACTTTATTTTAATAATTTCTTCTTATTTTTGTTATTTTTGTTATTTTTGTTAAATTAATGTATATTTTTGTTTTTCAATTTCGTGTTTCAGAAAGATTTTCAAGATTTTCACATTCAAATGGAATTAAAGTTATAATTTCATGCAACTTACCACAAAATGGTATGCCATCTGGCACCCACGTGCCCTTATCGCAAACTCGCCGCGCCGGCCCCAACAACTCAAAACCACGTTCACATGTGTAGGATGCAACAGTGCCATGCGTTAAATTCGCACTGGAAAACACAACTGTACTGTGCGCTGGTGAACCGGGAAAACTACAAGGTGGTTCTGAAATTGAAAGAAGGAGGGATTGAGTAAATTAAATGAAATAAATTCAATGGAAAACAATTTTTGTCAATAATTTTTTGTTATATAAATAACACCAAAACTAAAAAAACTATAATTTTATATGTACATAAATAACTTTTTTATTAATATAATGAGAGAATGAGAAAGGATGAGTGAAAATGTTTAATAAAAATACTAACATAAATGAAATAAATTTAATTCACTTGAAGAACATTAACTTAATTTAAATTAACTAAATATAAATATATGTTAGCATAGCTAAGTGTATTTGAATTATATATATTTGTAAAGTTTGAAGATTAATAAAAAATATATAATAAATATTGGATGAGTGCATAAGTTCGTGCCCGATTTCAAGTGCAAACTAAAATTGAAATTTTTTGAAGAAAGCGCTTTTATTAATCAATTATATTAAATATTAAATTATATTAAATTTCGCGAACCATTTCTTTACTGTGCGGAGTGCTGGAGCACGGTCCAAATAAACTTCGCGAATATCTTTAGTTGCAGCGCCTACTGTTTTTCCTTTGCGGAATTCGTATAACATAATATGACGCATATGATCTTTTTCGTTGTCCATCTTCCATGCGTCTTTTCACTAAGCAACTCAAATCAAAATAATGCTATTTTATGCTTGATTTACAGTTCGGACTGTCACTTTTCCAACGATATATAACATATATATATTTCTTTCACGAGTGCCACTCTCAAACGATTCGAACGGCATCCAGCGGAATCGGACTTATGCACTTATGCACTCATCCAATAATATCTGAACGGCTGATAGATTTTTTATGAGGAGCTTTATTTCATGTCAAAAAACACTAGAGGGGGGGGGGGGCTTAAATTCCCTGCGAATTAACCTTAATTTATTTTCTCTCAAAAATTTTATAAAAAAAAAGATACATAAAAATAAAAATTTTGATTTTAACTATTTTTATAATTTATGTATGTTGGCCGTACCAGGATTTGAATCCTGGCCATCCGTCGGCTACCGCTACCAAACACAACTGGAAACATTTAATTCAATGTTTAGTTCAAATTAATTGTAGAGGTTTAAATAACAAAAAAAAAAAAATAAATTAATTAAATTAAATTATGAAAAGTTAATTATGAAAATTGATTAAATTTTATGGCAATTAATTTGCTGTTTTGAAATGCCATTTTTTTGCCTGCTTAGCCAATAAATCTTATTTTTAAGTTCGCCCAATTTTTATTCTTTTTCCACCCTTTTACTTGTTTCTTGTTTTTTCTGTTTACACATGTCATTTCCGTGCTAGTTATGTACCTTGCTATGCAGCATATTGAAGAAGTAAGCATTAAATGAGTGAAAAATTCAGTATATAAGTAAGTAAGCAAAGAAAAACAGAATTAAACAATTGCATTAACTGTATTCTAAAGAGCAAATTAACTCCATATAAAACTAGCAAAGTACTGCAACATAACATAACATTTCAACATCGTTGATGTGTGTACGAAATTTATAATTTACGTTTATTATGAAATTTTGATGATTACTCATACGCAGTGGCGGACTGCAGTGGCAGGTCAAAGTGGTCATCCGTAGGCAATGTGTGCACCAACAAAAGGTCTAACAAAAGGTTAAGTAGGCAATTGCAAAATTATTGCTACTGCATTTAACATACTATAAGCATAGCATATATTATTTATGTATGTAATAAGCATATATAATAACTATGTACGCTTTTTTTGGGAGAGTATTTTTTTCTGCTGCTTTTGACTGCTGAAATCTGCATTTTCCACTTGACAATACCAAGTAATTGGCTACACTTAATCACTAAAACTCTAGCCAACTCTATGAAAAATGCATACATTAGTCATACACAAAAATATACATACAAGCAGCTATTGCATGCTGTTCAAAAGCTGTACGTCGTGGGAATATTTTCCTTTTTTGAGTGAATGCTAGCACTGTTTATGAGTTATGCAATAAGAGTCGTCAAAAACAAATGAAATTTTCTTCACATAAATGTAAGAAATTTTTGTATTCATATATATATATATATATATATATGTCCATTATTCATAATTTATGGTTGAATTGTTTATAATTTCCATAGAGGCTTTTTTAATAAAATGTGCTTGCTATATGTATAGTATGTTTGTTTCACTCACAGTCGGTTAGTGTTGTCAGTGTTTTAGTGTCGCGTGATTGTCCCGGTCACACACACATATACAAACTATCAAATGTTTATGCAGGCATCTCTCCATGCTTTATGTGTATGGTTTTATTAGCGTCTGCTTTGTGCCACTTTTAAGCTTTTTGATTGCCTTTGACGTCACAACGAGGAAGCGGCCATTTCACCCAAAAACCAGCTACGCTCTCTATGTTGTTATGAAATTGTATTTAAGCGTAAATCATCAGGAAAAGCGTATGTTTTTCATTGTAACGGACACTTACACACCCGGTGAGTTGCTGGGAATGAGGACTGATTTTATTTGCATTTAATTGAATTATTTTTTTTTTGCTTTGTATGCTAGTATACTTGAATTATTATGTATGTACGTATGTACAAGGAAATTATGTAACTGCAGTAATTAAAAATTAAAAATGAAAGTGTAATGAATTCGTAGTGAAAAGTGGTGGTGGATAATGAAAATATATTATTGTATATCTTCAAGACACCTTATAAAAAACAAATGATACCCAAAAGCGCTAGAATAGGAGATTTATATGATTATGATTGATTTTATATTCATTTGGCAGAGGAAGCTTTTACCTTCTTAAGTTGACGATTTTAATCCTATTTCATCTCATCTCATTTCCTCTCATCTCATCTCATCTCATCTCATCTCATCTCATCTCATCTCATCTCATCTCATCTCATCTCATCTCATCTCACCACATCTCAATTCATCTTAGCCATTCTCCGCTAGCCTGATGACTCATTAAATTTGAGTTCTCGGGCATTTCTAGGCCTCTTTTAGGTCTATTCTAGTTATGGAAAGTTCAGTTTGCTATGTATTATTCAGATCAACACAAAATTTGCCATAAAGAGTGCTGGGATAGAAAAGAGATCGACATTTTTTTTTAATATTTTCCCTCGAAAACTCGCCTCTTTTTTATTAATACGTTTTTCTAATATCTTAACTATACTACCATCTCACATACAATCAATAACTTCATAACGGTTTATTTGTGTGTTGTATGCATGCTTTCGCTAGTATAAATGCCCCACTCAGCAGCAAAAAAACTGAGCAAGAACAAGTGCCAATAACGACTAGGCAAGGCAGGTGTTTAGCGGACCACCACATGTACGCCGCTGAAGAAAAACGGTAAATATATATTCTGCCACTAACAACGACAACGAGTATCTACAACAAGTTGCTCTTGAAAATTCTAAGCGCAGTATATGCACTTGAACGGCACTTCATAGCTGCATTTTCTTGCGCCAGCCGCATCAGCAGTGCAGCAGCATTTAACAGCTCATGGTGGCGGAGCTAATCGTTTGCCGGTTTGCAATTAATTTCCAGTTTCTATTACATACATACGTACACGTACATATACGTTTATATGTAATCTTCTTCTCTATTCTGCTTTTACTACAGTAAATGTGTGCTGATTGTTTGTGTACCTTCGCTTGGAAGAAATAAATTTCACTGTTATTAGCAATTGCACTGTAAATTGTATTTTACGTGCAAATGTGTGGAAATGCTCACCTCAGCTCACTTTGTAAATAAATATTTATTAGTTGTAAAATTGTTGAAATTTGGTATTTGTACTTGGCGGGAAATATTATTTCTATTGGTTGTGTTAAAGTACGAAATGTTGCTTTAGTTTATGTTTATAGTTTTCTGGTTGTTGAATATATATATATATAATTGTCGCTTTGTATTTATTTTCCATGCAAGGTATTAATTCCTTAAGCAGCGCCAGCATGGCGTTACATCAGAAAACCAAAAAAGTTGTGTTTTAACCTTCAGTAAAAAATATGCATTTTGTTCAAAAACGTGCGCTCAATAAAACGTTGCCTACATTTAGGCACAACCGAAGTTTAGCTAAGGCATACACCTAGCGAGCGATTAAGTGAGGCTTACTGAGAACATTATCACAATTGCCAAATTTTTTTTTAGTTATTATGTTTTTATACAAAGCACAGAATTATAACAAAATTTCAGTTTTACTTTCTTGACTTTGTCTGTGACGTCCACTAAGGTAAGAGGTATTCTTGTGAACTTTCTTGTGATTTTGTATCAGACTTCGTGTAGAAAGCAGAATAAAAGGTAAAACAGTGTATGAAATACTAGTAGCGGCCTTTAGTGATACTGTTATGAGTAAATCAAGAGATTAAGCATTGTATAAGAGTTTCCAAGAAGGTCGAGTAGACCTTGAATATGACGAATGCCTGAAATACCACAGCACATCAACAACAGATAGAAATGAGATAGGAAGATTAATTGCCGATTCATAATTAGAGCAATACCTGATGACGCTGGAATATAATTTTCGATCATACTGTTTTTTTTTTTTTTCAATATTTTGCGTAAGAAACACGTGATAATACAATTTTCCAAGTTCCGGTTGAACTATATCAAATGGATGTTATTCAGAAGTCATATGAAGACAACGGCCGTGCAGAATTACTTGAGAATATTAGAATAGGTGTCGAAATATGTATTTATGGAGATGACGTCAAAATGTTTCAACGGCTCAATCACAACACTAGGGGCATACTATACTGATCATATTCTTCGATTTAAGTGACGTTAGCATCACGATAATACTTGCTCATGAATTTTCAGCCAAACAGTAAGCCCCGGTCTTTACATTCACCATTAGTAAGTAAGAGAACCGTAAAGGCTCGACGTGTTATAACCGTAAATGACATTAAACGGGCATCGCTGAAGCAACTAATAGCTATCTGAAGGATAGAGCTTGAGTAGGTTTTCTAATTAATTAATTATTATTATTATTAAAATTCTACTTTGAACTCAAAAATATCAATGTAAACTAATTA